CGGAGAGCTGGATAAGCACAGGAAACTTAGGGTAACTGACCTTTACGGGAGTAGTTAGGGCTCTTTTAGGTTGGGCGCTAAACCCTAAACCCTAAACTTAAACCCTAAACCCTAAGGTTTGTGACATATCAGGGCTCCCCTGTTGAGGGCCCCTACTAAGAGCCCCCCCGAACTGGCCCACATGGAGGATCGCAAACTCAGCAAGTTGACTCAAAGCTCTACTATGCATCTAGCTTGAAGGTTTCAGGCTGAAGGTTTAGGGATTTTAGGGTTTAGGGTTAAGTTCTCAGCAAGAAGAGTGTGCCAACCCCTAGACCCTAAACCCTAAACCCTAAACCCTTAACCCTAAACCCTAAACCCTAAACAGGAGCACGGCCCGAGTCTGGTGCAGTCAGCTGGGCGGAGCAGGTGCAGTTCCGGAAATTGGAAATTGGGGGGGGGATTTTCTGGGGTTTAGGGGTAATAGACTCATTAGAGTTTTGGGTTTAGGGTTCAGGCTTCAGGGCTTAGGGTTTTGAGTTTAGGGTTTTTACCCTGAACCCTAAGCGTTTGTTAGAACCCGCTTTGAGCAGGAAGTCCCGCGCTGTTCTAGGGCTTAAATTTTTAGGGTTGAGGGGGTTAGAGCCCGAAACCCTGAAGGTTTAGGGTTTAGGGTTTAGGGTTTAGGGTTTAGGGTTTAGGGTTTAGGGTTTAGGGAAACCCTAACTCCTAAACCCGCAAGCTCTAATCATCTCTAATCCTTACAGGAGAGCTAAACATTTTTTTAGGGCTTTGGGTGATCAACAAGGTCTTCGGCTGGTTTTGAGGCTTCAGAGTCAAAAGTTTTCGGGCAAGTTTAGGCCTTAGGGGGCAACTAAACCCTCAACAACCCCTCAAACCTAAACCCTAAACCCCAAACCCTAAACCCTAAACCCTAAACCCTAAACCCCAAACGAGACCTGCCCACCCGACTATCCCTCCTGCCCCAGCGCCGGCGTGCGGACACGGCTCTGCGTGGACTCGGCGCTCAGGACAGGAGCCCTAAACCCTAAACCCTAAACCCTAAACCCTAAACCCTAAACCCTAAACCCGAAACCCTAAACCCTAAACCCTAAACCCAAAACCTTAAACCCCAAACCCCAAACCCCAAACCCCAAACCCCAAACCCCAAACCCCAAACCCCAAACCCCAAACCCCAAACCCCAAACCCCAAACCCCAAACCCCTACCCAAAACCCCCAAAACCCTCAACCCTAAACCCCTACACCCCTACACCCCTCACCGCGAAACCTCTAGACCCTGAACCCCAGCACCGGACAGCCGCAAATTGCTCGCACCAGCATGTGCCCACTTCACTGCTCCTGGGTCTAGGGTTAGGGTTTAGGGTTTGGGGTTTAGGGTTTAGGGTGTAGGGTTTAGGGTTTAGGGTGTTTGGGCCGAATTGGGCCCCGAGGCTCTCCCCCCATCTATACTCATGGTTTAGGCTTCAGGGTTCAGGGTTTAGGGCTTAGGTTTATTTTGGGTTTAGGGCTTAGGGCTTGCGGCTTTCGCGCTTTGGGGCTTAGGGCTTCGGGCTTAGAGCCCAAGGCTTAGGGCTTAGGGCCTAGGGCTTGGGGTAGGGCTTAGGGTTTCGGGTTCGGGGTTTCGGGGTTTCGGGGTTTCGGGTTTGAAGGTCTCTGCATCCTCCTTTTCTGTTGCGCAGGAGATGCTGGATGACCAGGCCATCCGGGTAGACGGAGACGGGCTGACTTCTGCCTGACGGTTTGGGGTTGATGGTTGTAGGGGTTGATGTTGAGGGTAGCTACTTTCATTGGGGTTAGAATGAACCTTCAAGAAGCCTCAATCCTAAACCTAGAAAACCCGTAAACCCCTCAAGCTCCAAACGAAAACAAACGCAAGTACCCCTGAAGCAATTCCTCCGACCAAAGAGCATCAAATACCTCAACCCCCCCTTCCTAAAATAGCCTCTGTGTTCTGTGTGCGTGTGCTTGTGTTGTTCTCATTTCTGAAGCCCCAAAACCCTAAAACCCTAAGACCCTAAAGCCCTAAACCCTAAACCCTAAACCCTAAACGCCTAATTCCTGAACCCCGGCAGCCTTGCATCCGAATGCGGCATGCCTTGCTTTGCGGGACCGCTCGTGGCTCGAAGACGTCAGTTCTTCAAGTCTGCTGCGCCCAGGAGCAGCCGAGGCGGGATTTGCCACAGCACCTTGAAAACAGTGTTCAGGGTTCAGGGTTTTAGGGTTTTGGGTTTATGGCCTATCCCCCTACCCCTAATAAGTCCCTAAACCCCTAAACCCCTAAGCCCTAGACCCTCACACCCAGATACACTGAGGCCCTTGCTCGGCCCCCAACCCTAAACCCTAAACCCTCAAGACCAAGATGTGCAGAATTTCGACGTTTACGTGCTTGTAGGTTCACATCGCTGAATCTCCAAGACACGTCTCCGGATCCCTAAGGCAACGGACCCGAAAGCCGTAGTTAAGGTTCGGGGATTAGGGTTGTGGGGTTTGGGTGGGCTTCCCTTCTCCTCGATCCCCAAAAGGCTACATGCCCTTTTGCATTCCTCGGTTTCTTTTGCGGGGTGGGGTGGCCCTAAACCCTAAACCTCCTTGCCCCTAAACCCTTCTTAAACCCTAAACGTGTCCTTAACTTTAAGCTCTACACCCTAAAGGGCCGGAATCCGAAGTTGAGGGGGCCAACCATTTTTGCTAAGCCTAAGGTTTAGGGTTTATAGCGTTCAACGATTACGTACAGGGGGAGATCTTCTTTAAATTCGAAGTGTTCGAGTTAAGGGATGAGGGTTCAGGATAGGGTTCGCGGATTGGGTTTTCGAGTCGCCTCGCTTTAAATCTTCTAGGGATTATAGGGCCAGGGATGAGGGAGTTAGCCTAAACCCTAAACCCTAAACCCTAAACCCTAAACCCTAAACCCTAAACCCTTATGTGGCTTATACTTTTTGGGTCACCCAATCAAGCCTCCCTTTTTGAGGGATACTGCGGCCTTTCACGTACTTGAGAGTGTAGTAGAGGATGCTTTGAACTCTACACCCTAACCCTAAACCCTAAACCCTAAACCCTAAACCCTAAACCCTAAACCCTAGAAGGACTGACCACATGGTCAAGCGGCGTGCAGTACGACTTTCGCTGCTCAGCGCCTTCGTGGCGCTCCCGGCACCTGGGTCAAGCGATTCAGACTCGCACCCTAAGGTCGCACCCCAAAGGTTTCTCAAGGGTTTAGGGTTTAGGGTTTAGGGTTTAGGGTTTAGGGTTTAGGGTTTAGGGTTTAGGGTTTAGGGTTTAGGGTTTAGGGTTTAGGGTAGTTACATGATCGCTTAGTATGGGCCCTTAAACGGACCCGTATATACCCTATCAATCCCAAGGGCCCGTACTTCCGAACCCTTTCTTAGGAGGTAAGGGACCAGATTAGGTTATCAGGGCCCATGAAACTACCCTTAGACTCTTATGATCCCAATATGGCTCTCCAATTCTCTTGAGAGGGATCTTTCAAAAGGGTCCATAAACCCTAAACTCTAAACCCTGAACCCTAAACCCTAAACCCTAAACCCTAAACCCAAGGGTGGAACCTTAGGCTTCCAAGATAGAATCCCATGACTGGCGCAGCCATCTTCAGGGTGTTCGAACCTTTTGGGGTTTTCAGGCTTGGGGACCCAGAACCCTAAACCCTAAACCCTAAACCCTAAACTCTAAACCCTAAACCCTAAACCCAAAACCCTGAACCCGTGTTTGTCGAATCTTCCGGTCACTTGGCTGGTTTCTACCTTGGGTCATGTGCCCTCAGAAGCCCGGCTGTTTGAACCAGGAACCACACACACCCCTGGTTTATGGTTTGGGGTTGAGGCCCTCTAGATGTCCGAGATCAACTCTAAACTCTAAACCCTAAGCCCTGGACCTCAGACTAGGGTTTAGGGCGACTCGGAAGAGTTTTCGTCTTTGTCTTCCCTGGCTGCAGGGGAAGTCAGTATTTAGGCCCCCAAAACCACATAAACATAAACAACAAAGCGCAACAAGAAAATAACACACACACATAAACATAAGGATCCTACTATTGGGGTCTAGGGGTCCCTGTAGGGGGGATTTTGGAAAGCCATGTTTGCAGAATCCTTCTGTTCATATGGTTTTGGGGGCCCCTAAAGTACCCTAAACCCTCAGGCCTAAACCCTAAGCCCGAAGCCCTAAGCCCTAAGCCCTAAGCCCAAAGCCCTAACCCTAAACCCTAAACCCTGAACCCTGAAAATTAAACCCTAAACCCTGAACCCTAAACCCTAAGCCCTACTCAAATCCTAGGCTCTGACCTACTTGGGTCGTGCCTTCCTTGTGGCGCCTCCGGCCGGCGCAGTCCAGCCGACCACTCGGTGGGCTTTACTTCTGCCAGTTCTTGCTTTTGAGGTCTTAGGGATTTGGGTTGAGGGTTTAGGGTTTAGGGTTTAGGGTTCAGGGTTCAGGGTTCAGGGTTTAGGGTTAGGGGTTTAGGGGTTAGGGTTTAGGGTTTAGGGCAGCAGTACCATCGGGTCTTGTTTCTAAGTTGGCAGAGCGCCTCCACACACCTTGCTGCCTATCAGGCTTACCAGCAACCAAACTCACAAGCACTACATCATCGAAACAGAAAGCCAAATCGTTTTCCAGCCAATGGTACCTACGAAAGCATGCATGGATCGCGAATTATGCATTTTTGATAAGAACGTGTTAATGCTGAAGGACGGCTACTGTCTTCCAAACCATCAGAAGTAAAAGCATCAATATTGCAGGCTCACAGGGATCTAAACCGTGCCTCTTTCTGTGGAGGTAGATTCTCTAGGGGGGGGGAGGGGGGGGAGGGGTTGCCCTACTTATATATATATATATATATATGTACACATATATATATATATACATGTATATATATATATATACGTACATACATGTATATGCTAGTACCATCAGATTCGTCGCACGCTTTGCCAAAGCCGTGCGTGGCTCCCTTCTTTCGGCTCCAGCGCCGTCACGCCGTGAGATGGCCCCCATGTCGCGGCGCTTGGCGCAGTCTTGCGGGCTACTCGGCCTCTGTGTCGTGGCTGGGAAGCATGCCGCCCATTGTGCGACCGTAAAAACCTTCAAGTCCAACCCGCACATGATGCGCGGCGTGAAGGTGAAGGCGGAATCCTACGAGATTTCTTTCGAAGGCTGCGGGTCAGTCAGAGTGTTCAGGGCTTGTGATCCTCCTTACGAGATCTCCTTTCCTCAGTGGAGCTTAAAGAAGAGCGTTTCCAGGAGCGAAGTGGCCGTAGAATCGGTCAGAGCCCTGTGCTCTGGCGAATTGAAAGATGGCACCTCCTGTGCCCTCCTTGCCCGGGCCATCCTGCTTCCAGACGGTGCTTTCAAGAAGATCGTCGTGGTGTCGAACTTGCGGAAGCTGTTAAAGGAACATCTGCCGAAGGGTTCCTTCAAGAGCATCCGGGAAGCGGGCAGCACCCTCTACCGATTGGACGTCGATGGTTCAGACCACGACATCGAGGTGGGGGCATCTCGCGAGGCTGTGCAGAACCTGCCTTGACTAATCTTGTGCGAACTTGGGTATACACGATACAAGTAGTCTCTGCGTATAAGAGTTGAAAAGTAAGTAGGAGCGGGGACGAGGGCGAGGGAGAGGAAGCAGGAGCAGGAGAGGAATGGGGGAGAGATGAAAGGAGAGGGAGACGTGTAGACACACACACACACAACACACACGCACACACACAAAACACACAACACTCGACACTCAACACACAACACACAACACACAACACACAACACACAACACACAACAGACAACACACAGCACACGGCACACGGCACACGGCACACAACGCACAACGCACAACGCACAACGCACAACGCACAACGCACAACGCACAACGCACAACGCACAACGCACAACGCACAACGCACAACACACAACACGACGCACAACGCCCGACGCACGACTCGCACCACACACAACAGACCACACACAACACACAAAACACAACACAACACACGAACACACGACACGCAACACACGACACGCAAAACAACACAACACAACACACGACACGCAACACACGACACACAACACACAACACAGCACACACGACACACAGCACACAACACACGACGCACGCACGACGCACGACGCACGACGCACGACACACGACACACAACACAGCACACACGACACACGACACACGACACACGACACACGACACACGACACACGACACACGACACACGACACACGACACACGACACACGACACACGACACACGATACACCACACACGACACACGACACACGACACGCAGCACACAGCACACAACACACGACGCACGCACGCCGCACGGCACACGACACACGGCACACGATGCACGACACACAACTCACAACACATACATTTCAGGTGGTTTTCCGCGGCGAGGCTGCCGACCACCGAATCGCCGAGATGCTTTTGGAGGGCCTGTTGGCAGCACAGGCGGATGCCCAGGAGCGCGTGGAGAGCTTGCGAACCCGGAGCAAAGACTATCACGAGCTGGCGAGAGCACAGCTACAGCCATTCGAGTATGGAGTTCAGATTCGCGGCTACCCTGAAGGCACAGAGTGGGATGTAGTGGCCACCAAGTGGGAGCCGGGGTCTCCTGCCCACGTCCAGTATGATTCGAAGCAGCAGAGGTGGAAGCCCATGTTGAGCGGCTACGTGAAGCCAGTGGTGGAGGGCTGGTGGACATCGAAGATGACGTTATTCCTAGCTTTAAAGCTTCTCAAGATGTGGAATGCCAATCTGCCGAAGTTGCGTCGGAAGCGCTGCGAGAGGACAGGCTCGTGGTGGCCGGTGTCGCCGCTCTCCAGCTTTCACCTGGTCCTGATGGCGATAGCAGCAGCTCCTCAATGGGATGATTCGGGATCGCTGCAGGCGGCCTGCTGCTTTCTCCTGCGATTCGTGCAGGACCACTGGCACGATGTGGCACTCGACACTGGCATTCCCACGGCGGAACAGCACCTTTCTTGGCAAAAGAAGCACAACTTTCAGTCTATACGTCGTAGAAGCTAGCATTCTCCTTCTTCACCGGCAAAGACAGGCACCTCCAAAACATCATCCGTGGCTACTCTTCCCCGGAGTCTCCCAACCTCAACGACCTGGATCGCCACATCCAGGAGACCATTGAGGATCTCGACGCTTGGGAAGTGGAAAGTTCGTATACTAAAGTCAGCTACGCCCGACGGTGACTCCAGCGTAAAGAAACCTGGGACATCCTACAACCCAAGCTCGCCCCGAGTATGGGGGGCCCAGGTAGTAGGATCCCCTTATGATAAGGACCCCGCAAAGGGTACCCCTAATTTCGAAACAAGAACCTAAACCCTAAACCCCGAAACCCCTACACCCCTAAACCCCGAAACCCCTAAACCCCTAAACCCCTAAACCCCTAAACCCCTAAACCCCCGAACCCCTAAACCCCTAAACCCCTAAACCCCTAAACCCCCGAACCCCTAAACCCCTAAACCCCTAAACCCCCTACACCCCCTAAACCCCCTAAACCCCTAAGCCCTATAAAAACACCCAACTCAGGAGAAGCTGGCGACGTATCCCGCGGCCCAGCAGCTGGTCTTGGTGGAGAAGATGTTCGGGCCCTTCAGTAGCGCGACGGGCGAGGCGTCTTCTTGACTGCAGCGGCTGGCCTGGCTCTCCAGGTTACGTGAGGGGGTTTAGGGTTTAGGGTTTAGGGTTTAGGGCTTGGGTTTAGGGTTTAGGGTTTGGGGTTTAGGGTTTAGGGTTTAGGGTTTAGGGTTTAGGGTTTACGGTTCAGGGCTACCCTCTATGGTATCGAGGGGGCTGAGGGTGGCAAGCGCCCTCTTGATTATGTGCAGCTACGTCCCTGACACATATGGTGGCAAGCGCGCGTCGCGCAGGATGTCAACATGATGTCGGCATGTTCGGTGTCGCTCGAGGTTTCTGTTTCAGGGGCTGGAATTTGTACCCTAAACACCATAAACCCTAAACCCCAACCGTAAGCCCTAAAACCGTCAACCCTAAACCCTCTTACCTGTAACATCCCTAACACTTCAGCAGACTGACGAGCAGTCGGTCACTAATGGGGTTTGAGGACGGGGTCTGAGTGGTGGAGTGGGGAGGTTTAGGGTTTAGGGTTTAGGGTTTGGGGTTTTAGGGGGTGCGGTCGCGGAAGGTGCCATGTTCGGGTTGAAGTCACGCGAGCCCCACATGTTAGGCTGTTTGTGCGATGAACCCTGTCAGTTGTGGATTCTACTGTAGGGCTTAGGGTTGGGGGTCGAAGACTTCACCGGACGTCTCGGTTGCAGCAAAAGCCCCCGCCCCCCCCCCCCCCCCCCCCCCCCCCCCCCCCCCGACGAGGTCCCCCTTACCTGCCCCAAGGGTTTAGGGTTTAAGGTTTAGGGTTTAGGCTTTAGGGTTCAGGGTTTGTCTTTGCGTAGATCGTCATATCAGCCCCAACTCACGCAGGGGGGGGGGGGGGGGGGGCGGGGTGAATTGGGGAGGCTGCTCACAATCTCAGCACCAGCATCGGTCAAATCCTAGTCTCATAACTGCGCCCGTATTCAGCGCTTCTCGCCCCCTTTGGATCCTCTGAACAAGCAGTAGCCCCGCTGCACCTCAATCCTGAAACCCTAAACCCTAAACCCTAAACCTTAAACCCTCAACAACCCTAACCCCTAACCCCTAAACCTTAAACCCTAAACCCTAAACCCTCAACCCCAAACCCTAAACCCTAGCCCTAAGCCCTAAACCCTAAACCCTAAAAACTTAAGCCTCCCAATGCACTCCTCCTAGGAGGGTGGTGCCAGCACGTCAGGGTGAAGGCCGGCTGTTGGGGTTTGGGGTTTGTTTGGGTTTGGTTTGGGGTTTAGGGTTCAGGGTTTGTTTGGGTTTGGGGTTTAGGGTTTAGGGTTTTGGGTTTGGGGGTTTAGGGGTTTAGGGTTTGTTTGGGTTTGGGGTTTGATGGGGTTGATGGGGCTGGATGGGGTTTGGGCCTAGAGGTTCAGAGGAGTAGAAGCTCAGGAGTATAATGATAACACGGCAACCCTGAAAAGCCTAAACCCTAAACCTTAAACTCTAGGGTTGAGGGCCGAGGGTTCAGGGTTTAGGCTTTGGGGTTTAGGGTTTAGGGTTTTAGGGTTTAGGGTTTAGGCGGTTTAGGGTTTAGGGTTTAGTAGGGTTTAGTCCCCCCTTCCCTTCGATAGAACGATCTGACGCAGGGTTTAGGGCTTAGCGTCTTAGGCTTCAGATAAAGCCCTCGTGTTGTCCTTTGGAAAGTGAGGGGCTTCAAAATTCAGGGCCTGTACAAAGGGAGCCCCTTGTAGCTACCGTGAGACATTGACGACGCATTCTCTGAGCGTCTAGAGGGCTCCCACTTGTAGCTGTGTAGCTGTTCATACCGAAGGCCTTGGCCCTAAACCTTAAGCCCTACGCCCTAAATGTCATGGGTTCAGGTTAGGGCTTGGGTTTAGGGTTCAGCCTGAATCTTTAAACAAGTTTAAGCCGCGAACCTTCGGAAGCTCAAACCCTAAGTTCAAAACATCAAGGGCTTTCGGTTACGGTTTCAAGCTAAACTTCAACCCCGGCTCCTGAAACCCCAAACCCCAAGCCCCAAACCAAAAACCGTCAACCCAAAACCCCCAACCCCAAACTCCAAACCCTAAACCCTAACCGTAACCGCCAAGTGCAAACCCCACAGCCTTGCACCCTGCAAAGCGCCATTCTGCAAGGACACTACACAGCGCAGGATGGGTGGCCTGTCAGCATTTAGGGTTTAGGGCTTAGGGTTTGGGGTTTAGGGTTTAGGGTTTAGGGTTTAAGGGTTAAGGGTTAAGGGTTTAGGGTTTAGGGTTTAGGGTTTAGGGTGTAGGGTTTAGGGTTTAGGGTTTAGGGGGACAGTCAGAAAGTCCAGGGCAACCTTGGGCCCTGCATACTGTTTAGGGGGGGCTTGGGGACATGTAGCCAATCACTGAATTCCTCACCCTAAACCCTAAACCCTAAATCCTATAGACCCTGAAGCCAAACCCCAAACCCTTTACCCTACACCCTATGGGCCCTGAACCCGGGATACCCTGAACCCGGGGTACCGTAAACCCTGAACCCTAATCCCGACACCCTAAACCCTAAACCCTAAACCCTAAACCCTAAACCTCGAATTAAGCGACGATAAGGACCGCCTTCTCCTCCGTCCGGAGCTCAGTTGTTTTCCGCGTCTGTCGATGTAGGACTTTAAGGTTTAGGGTTTAGGGTTTATGGTTTAGGGTGCAAGGTGTGCGTACTTGGAGGTTCAGGGTACTTAGTAACCCAATCATATCTGTACAGCCCGCTCAAGTGCTGAAGCCTTGTGCCCCCAAGAAGGGGGGAGGGGGTTAGGGAATCCGACTAGGGTTCAGGGTTGAGGGTTGGGGTTTACCCTAAACCCTAAACCCTAAACCCTAAACCCTAAACCGGTTTACAGCTCCCCAAGAATGGCGTACTGTGTCCTGGACCTTTGAAAATCTCCATGATGCCAGGCTTACGCGAATCTCCTAAGCCTCTTAGATATACGCTACCTGGGGCTCTATTTACCGTCAGTTTAGTAGTAACCATAGTAGTCACCCCTGAATTGGTGCTATTACCCATAAAAGAACTGTAGGTAACGAGTTCCAGGTAAGCCCGAAGGCTTAACTACTCCTGAACTCCAAAACCACTAAACCTGAAGCTTCGGGGGTTTAGGGGTTCCGGGTTTCGAAGGTTTCAGAGCCCGAACAGGGGGGTTGAAGGGGCTTAGGGGATTAAGGATTTACATATGGGGTTTGGGTTTTGGGACATTTAGGCTTCTGCGGTTTGGGTTTAGAGTTTAGGCTTCGGGGGTGGGGGGTTTCCTTACACGCGGTTTTAGACTTTAAGTGCAGGGTCACGCACGCAGGCCTGAAACTCAGAACATAAACCCTAAACTCTAAACCCTGAACCCTCAACCCTCAACCAAAAACTCTAAACCCTAAACTCTAAACCCTAAACCCTAAACCCTAAACCCTAAACCCTAAACCCTAAACCTGCATCCCCAGATGGCTTGGCCCGCTCTGGGCGGCCTCGCCGTAGCGGCCGCTACGCGTCTCCTGCTGCGGAGGCGTTCTCGTTAAGCCGGTTTAGGGTTTAGGGTTTAGGGTTTAGGGTTTAGTGTTCAGCGTGGGTAGCCTTTGCACGCACAGAAGGGAAGTTGTCTTAAATGATGCGTTCTAATTGTCGTCTAATTTCTGTTTCATTGCAAGGGCATTGAAGTTTTCTCAGGGTCAAGGTTTTGGGATATGGGGAGTGGTTTTGGCGTTTTTTCTTGCAGATAAAGAGCCGACTTAGAGCAATCGATATACCCTTACAAAAAGAAACATACTAACAATTGAAGCACTTTCATGTTTTCACCGTAAACCCCGAACCCCAAAACGCCAAAGAGTTTCAACCCTAAGTTTTTGGGTACCCTAAACCTAAGGCTCCACACTTTCAACCCTAAACCCCTAAAAACCGTAAACCCCAAACCCCAAAACCCCAAACCCCAAACCCTAAACCCTAAACCCAAAAAACCCCAAACCCAAAAACCCCAAACCCAAAACCCCAGACCCCAAACCCCAAACCCAAAACCCCAAACCCTAAACCCTAAACCCCAAACCCCAAGCCCCAAACCCTAAACCCTAAACCCTAAACCCCAAACCCCAAACCCTAAACCCTACACCCTAAACCCCAAACCCCCAAACCCCAAACCCCAAACCCCAAACCCAAAACCCCAAACCCCAAACCCTAAACCCCAAACCCCAAACCCTAACCCCCAAACCCTAAACCCTAAACCCCAAACCCTAAACCCCAAACCCTAAACCCTAAACCCTAAACCCTAAACCCTTAACTGAGCTTCATTGCCCAGCTCGGCGCCCGCGTCATCTCCGCAGCTGGTTCCCCTGGCCGGGGGCGCGCTGAGCTGCTACGAAGAGGCGCCGGGCGATGAGGGGTTTAGGGTTTAGGGTTTAGGGTTCAGTGTTCTGGGCCAGTTAAGGCCATGAGAGGTTGGGGGCTAC